CATATATATTATTCATCCGATTTGTTATATTTGTTACCCACAGCCGTAATATGCACTCCGTAACAACGATATTCAGGGAAATATATCAAATACAGCTCAGAAATATCTTTGCCAAATTTTATCGAGATCGCTTCAGATTTGGATATAGCTCCCATATATATCTTTATCCGATTTCAAATTAATTGTGCACCAAATGGATAATACAATTCCGAATTTAAATGATACAAATGTTTCGGCATATTTAGTCCTTTGAACTTTAAATTATAATTATAATCACAGCGTGTATTATTGAATTCTCCCATAAAAACTTTTAATTGTTATGTGGAGCTCTACTAAATTAGCAAAGTGGTGTAGGGTATCATAAAGTCGGCCCTGCCCGACTTTTTTTTTTGTTTTGTTTTTGTAATCGATTTTTCTGGACTATGGATCCATTTAGTTTTCAAATAATCTCGAGTAGGGTATCAACAAATTGACTCAACAAAATCCAGCTTAATATTTTTCCAAAAGCTAATCTGTAAAATGTCGGAGACCTATGTGTTGTTGTTGCTATTGTTGTAAAAATTAAACAAACGACTCTCTAGACAGGCGTTAATAATTGGTATTAGGGGGGAAGTTTCCGAACTAGTGAATGTTGGAATCTACTGTGCCGTTAATTTGTTTCAAACGCCATGGAATGCAGTCAATTAAGAATTTCAAACCGAGACAATCTCTCATAGAAAAAGGTACTGTGAAGGAAAAACACTGAATCGTAACAAAATCTGTTTTCGATCACATTTTTCGAAAAGGGCAACTGGTTTGCTACGCCTTTTCAAATTAAAACCGGAAATATGTTTTGACGCTTAAACAGAGATTTGTTTTGGTAGTTTTTTTTTTTCGAATTTTTGTCTAATAGTTTTGTTTTGTCTCAATTGAATGACATAGAAACAAATGGAAAGAATAAACAACAAAAAAAAAAAAAAACAAAAAAAAAAAAAACGAATTACACAATATTTATTAACACTCAAAAAAAAAAAAGAACATGTGCCATTTGTCAAAATATAGGCTTAGTAATTGTTTGGGTTATTTTACCGGAATTTTTTTCGCCATTTGTTTTTTACTCAAAATAATTGGCGATAAGAAAGGCGTGATGTTTTTTTATTTTAATTATTTTTTTAACTACATTAAAATCTCTCCAATTAAAAGGCTTCCGACAAAAAGTGTCTCATTCAAATTTTATTTCTCATTCAAACTAGTTTCGAGAATTTTATAAGCCACACGGCACTTTTTTTGTTATTGTTTTTTTGTTATTGTTTTTGTTTTTCGCAATCAAATGTTATGTCCCTATCTCCGGACCTTAGTTCAAGTCATGGCCATGTGGTCTCATTCAATTTGGGTTATCATTTTCTAATATTTTTTTGCTAATATATATCGCCATATAATTTTTTGCAAATATAAATTGCCCCTACAATTTGTCATCAGAAAATTGGACGTCATTATTTTAAATTTTAGTGTATATAATTTTCAATACAGTGGAACATTTCGGAAATGGAACTTTTTGGGAACTTTTATTCAAATGACTAAGCTTTAATTGATATGGGGATAGATTGATGGTCTCAAAAATCAATTGGAAAAAATGGTAAACTTATAAGGCTAGTTTTAAATACTTTCAGTCAATTCCCTAAAGACTAACAAAAAAAAAAAAAAAAAAAAAAAAAACAGTAACAAAAATTCTTTAAAAAATCGATTCGTGTTATATATTCTGGTCATCCCGTTACAATCGTTCTATCAAAATCTTGACATTTCTTATTAATGTCTTAGCATATTGTTGAATCTTCCTTAGTCCAACTGTCTAAATTTTCTGTTTTTGCGTAGACCCAAACTAAATAATACGACACAAAATACATAGAAAAACATGCCGTGAAGAAATTAAAAAGCGTCATATCATCCAATGTAAGATTTTAAAATTAACTATTTTTCATCTCGAACAAGTAAAAACGCTGTAGCTTCGGCCGGGACGAATCCGTTAAAAACTGTTAAAATCTTAAAAATACCGAATGTGGGCGTAATATTACGGTCTATACGACGACGTGGACCTGCATAAGCAACTTTTGTCATAAACCATTACAATACTCATGCGAAACTTGAATAAAAAAATTCGTTTAATAAAGTACTGTTAAATGGGGGCTGTATGAAGAAGTGGACCTGCACAAACAATTTTCTGTCATAGTCTGCAGTATCCGTTACGAACTTTAAATGCCAAATTTGAAACATTTCCGGTGAATAATGTCGCTAAAATCATCAAAATACCAAATATCGGGAGGTACCGTTATATGGGGGCTAATCCAAAACGTGGACCCATTTTCAGTACCAACAGTCCTGCAGTCATAATACACATTTGAGTAAAATTTTACCAATTTACTTCATTGCTTTCGGAAGCTACAGTGATATCCACAGACGGACTTACGGACGGACATCGCTAAATCGACATAGAATTTTATACTGATCTAGAATATATATAGGGTATGAAAAGCATCAATCATCCAGTCCTCCGAAAAACTTGCTCGAATTTGAGCAAAGCGTGAAATTGGAGCGGAATCACTCCTGGAACTAGAAAATGTTGAAAATACTCTATTTATCGAAGTCCCTTGAGTGGCATCGGTCTTGTTTTAGAGTGGGTGCAATATGAGCTTGACATCGATTATATTCTACTCTTGTCAAGCACCCTACCAGTTTTTGTAATACACTCACTCTTCGATTACTCCCACTCGCGAGCAAGTTTCAATCTAGAGTGAAAACGAGCATACATCATTAGATAAATAGAACAAGGAAAAAAGCGCCGAAGTTCAGTTGGGACGAATTAATAATACCCTTCACCATTTGTAAGGAACTCGACGTTTTTAACGTTTTTTTGTAAATTTGGGTATTAGGATTTGGGCTTGCCGAACTTAGCTGTATTTTTAACATGTTTTTCCTTAGGCTTTATACCCTCAGCCCTGTGGCTACAGAGGACATATATCATTTGATGCGGTCATTTGAAGTCACTTTGGACAAAATCCGTTTCGGGATGTCCAATCGTGCGATGTCCGTCCGATGTAATATTATTATTATCAAACTTAGATCGTGTTAGGAGATGGACAATATCTGTCCACTCCTTCTAGTACCTCCCCCACAAAAGATCGCACTTTTCAAAAAGTATTTAACTGCACAGAACGAGAAAGTATTATCCGATTTAGCTTCAACTTTGCAACTCTTAATATTTTCATCAGTGCTAAATAAGGTACGAAAATGGACAATATCGGTCCACTCCAGCAAGTACCTCCCTCACAAAGGGGCAAAGTTTTGAATAACCAAAATCATAAAATTCTTTTTGAATTTTCATAAAATCCGAAGTAAGCATCCGGTTTTCTTCAGATTTAACACATCCGCTTATTTCAACTAACAAAAGACCTGCTGAAGATGGGATATATCGATCCCCTACTACTTAGAAAAATATACAAGGACTACTCACAATATATGATATGTATACCTCCTTCCTAATTTTTCAAAAGTTTCAAGAAATATGGCTTTAGCCATTATTTTGTAAATTTATTTAACTGCTAACTTCATTCACTGTACAGGGTGAGATGAAAAAACTGCAACCAACTTCAGGATGTTGTCATTTCCAAGCCACTCGTCCGACAGCTGTTAAAATTATGCCAGCGACAGCTCATTGTATTGTCTACAAGCGTTCCAAAGAATTTTGTTGAGAATTTTTGAGAAAAAAAAAAGTTAGTCGTGATGGAATTTGAGCGTGATAGTGCGATTTCTTTATATTTGGCTGGAAAACCACATGTGGCTATTAGCATTTAAATGTGAATAAATCTTTTGTGTATCGTACCATCGCTCGTTACCGTGATACTGGTAGTGTAGGCCGACGTCAAGGAAGTGGACGGAAGAAAACAGCAACATCAGCAGAAATGGTTCGAAAAATAAAGAAGCGACTTGATCGAAATCCGCGTCGCAGTGACCGAAAAATGGCTCGTGAGCTGAACATATCCCAATATTCTATTCGACAAACATTGAAAAATGAGCTTCGGGAAAGCCATTGAAATACCAAAAAGTGCAAGAACTTACACCGCAAGAGAAAGAAAATAGACTCAAAAGAGCTAAAGAGTTGCTTCGCTTGGTCGACAATGGTGAATTGCCGATTTTAGTTTTCTCCGAAGAGAAAACATTCGTTGTCCAGCAGTTTGTAAACAAACAAAATGATCGTATTTACTTGCCAAAGAGGTCAGCTGAAAATGTGCACCTTCGGTTGGCTCAAGCGCCGGCCACGGTGATGATGTGGGACGCCATAAAAGCCGATGGTAGCTCTCCAATCGTATTAATCGACGAAAATATTCTGGAGGGTGTATTAAAGCCTTGGGCACGCCAACATTTTGGCCGCAGATCTTGGACATTCCAACAGGACTCAACAACCACCACCCAAGAAAGGTTCCTCGCTTCCTTTCCAGCGCACAATGGCCACCAAAATCTCCGGATACCAATCCGTTAGACTATTGTGTCTAGAGTATTTTGGAAAGCAAGGTTGGCACTATAAAATACCAAAGTGTCGATCACCTCAAGCAAGCGCTTCGACGGGAATGGGCCAAAATACCGCAGAACAACACTCGGGCAGTTTGTGACGGTTTTATTGGCCGTTTGAAGGCCATAATTTGTGCCAAAGGCGACCAATTCGAAAAAATCTAAACTTATCCTAAAATTTGATGCTATTTTCGACATTTTTTGCTTTTATTCAATAAAATTTCAATAAAATATTAAAGCCTTCCTTTCAACACCAAAATTTTTCAAATGTCATTCACCTAAAACATAAGTGAGATTGTGCAAAACATTTAAAAGAACACCAATTTAATTTGCTAAAATATGTCTAGTGCCTCTATTAAGTTGTCTCTATGGCAAAACTAAGCTCTTGTTGTCACATAAACAAAAAGCATATTTCTAATATTTTTTTCTTTCTCAATTTTTGTGTTATTTTTTTCCAGCATCCATTGATGGTATTGCATAAAAAAAACTGAAAACCATAGAGTAACAGCATTCGACACAAAACGGCACAGCACGTGATATATGTATGAAGCCGAAGAAGATGCTGCTGATGATGATGATTGCTCATAACGTAAAACTGGGGAGTCAACAACATTGCACTACTGCACACTGTGACATCTGAAGCGCAGAGGTATGTATGCAGCGAAGCAAATAACCAGAAGAGAGCTTAATAAAAAAGAAAAACGTATGCTGAGTGCTACTGGGGATACACCAAGCCACTCACACACACACACACCTGTGTTCATAGTATCCATACATGTGTTTGAATATTGTGAATGGGAAGCACCTACGTTTTTAGTTTTATTTTTGTTCCGATTTTTTTTTTTATTTTATTTATTTTGCGTTTTTTTTTACACCGGTGTCAAGTACAATTCACAATTCGCATAGCTTGTGGCCAAGTAAAAGTGTAGGAATGTGTGGGGGTGAGAGGGCGTGAAATGAGAGAAATGCCGCACTCCCATTCACAAAATTGTTCACACACACACACACAAATGTATCGTTTTGACAAAAACAAAATATGAACATGCTTTTGACAAGAAATTGACATGTTTTTGAATTTTTATTTTGTGTTTTTTTTTGTTATATATTTTTTGCCTTATCGTATATTGTTTTGGGGGAACCTCTGCAGCAGTTAAACGGGAAGGAAGGCCCCAAAAAACACCAACACCGTTTCATATGCCAAAAACACATACGCGCAGCCATCGTGAAGTGAGGAATAAATCTGTTATCACATCTGTTCTGCAAAATGTGTGTTGAGGTGTATGTATGTATGCGTGTGTGTGTAACTGCGTACTTCCTTTTTGCGGTAATATTCATTATTTAAATATTTAAAAAGTCGATTTTTTTTTTCGTATGTACGTTTGATGTTGCGGTTTTTGTTTTGGAAATTTGGCTTGCTATGCAAACGCATAAATTTTAAAGCGTTGACAGCTTTTGACATTATCGCCAATTTTCGAAAAATGTTATATTTTACATGCGAAATCCATATATCTGTGAAGGGTATACCCACACATGAACATGTTCTGATATCCATGTACAGCGAAATGTGGACTGTTCCAGATTTGCGAAATCGAAAATTTTCGTTTCGTTGTGAGAAAACATTGCTCTCTGTAATACAAAGTCAGGATTTAATACTAGACACCTATTGTGATAATAATTTTTGTCGGAAAAACTTTAAAAGGAGACGAAGTTCGAAGATGGAATATATAAGACCTTGCATCAAGTATTTTGCCCACAAATGGTCCGGAATTGGGCAGTAATTGACTGACTGATTGACTGACTTAACGATTCATCAACGCCCAGACGAAACGACTAAAGCTGGAATATTGAAATCTGGGGTGTGGGTCACTTTTGGCCCGAAAGGGTCATTTAAGGCTGATTTATTGGAAATTCGTACTAGAACGGTATGAAAAATATTAAAAGGTACTAAATATGGTAACCTTTGTATTTGAGGAAGCAGTAAAGCTAGAACTATTTAATTTGAAATGAGGGTCACCGATAGAGTGTATGATGGTACATCTATCAGGTTTTTGGAAATTCACATTAAGTACTACAATGTACTACATTTGGTACCATTTCGTACTATGTGAACGGTAAGAACAAAAAAAAATTGAAATGGGGTTCAAGATTGAGGAGTAAAGTCGATGATAGGAGGTAGTTTTGGAAGTACAGGGTTGTTCATATTCGACGGACCCATCTGGCAACGCCATAACTTTTGACAGAGATGTCACATCGCTTAATGACATATCGCGTTTGAAGCGTCAGTCCAAGCAGATTTTTACCATTAACCAATACACGCCACGCGAGCTCTCTGAAATAGTTGAAATTTACATTCAACAGAAGAAATCAATTGTGAAAAAAAGAAATATGAGAAGTGCGCCTTCTATGAACACCATTAAGCTTTTATACGACTGGTAAGGCTCTTTCTAATCCGAAGAGGCCATATAAAAGTCGACCAAGGCGATCGGCCGAGAATATCGCTGCCGTACGAGCCAGTGTTGAGAGGTCCCCAAGAACATCCCAAAAACGCCGCTCTCAGCAGTTGGGCATGGCTCGGTCTACTTTACAACGGATTATTCGCATTGATTTGCATTTGTTCCCGTACAAAATTCAATTGACGCAAAGAATGTTGCCTGCGGACAAGCCTCGTCGATTGAAATGGGCCCAAAGAGTCATGGGTCCGTCGAATATGGGCAACCCTGTATGTATAGAATACTTCAAAACGGTACTAAATAGTACTAAGTAAAATATGAATTTGGAGGAACAGATGGAGCTTGAATCCTGAAATATGAAATGAATATTACTGGTGCAATTTGTACTTATGAGCACGAAAAGTACTAATGGTACTAAATTTGGTACAATTCAGATTTCGGTGAATCGATAGAGCTGGAAATCTGAAATTTAGGAATAAGATTTCTCTTGGACTTAGATGAAGGCAGTTTTGAAAAATTGTACTAAGGTGCACTAAATTGTACAAAATTCCATACAATTTAGATTTGGGTGAATCAAAAGAGCTGGTATCCTGAAAATTGGAAATAATATTAATGTCGAAGTGCAGGATTGGGATATTTTGTACGTAGTTTTGAAATTTGTACTTATGTGTACTAAACAGTACTAAATTTGAAACAATTTAAATTTTGGGAGACCCTATTGGTTCTCACTGTAATTTCGAAATAACATTTCTCTTGGACTTGGATGTAGGTAGTTAGGAACAATTGTACTTATGTGTTCTAAATGGTACTTAATTCTATACAATTTGAATTTGGGTCAACCAAAAGAGCTTATATCCTGAAAATTGGAAACAATTTTACTGTTGGAGTGTAGCATTGGGATACATAGGTAGTTTTGGATATTTGTACTTATATTTACTAAATGAAGTACAATTTGTATTTGGACGAACCAGCAGGAGTGCAATGTTAAAATTTGAAATTGACATTTATGTGGAAGTTCAGGATTGAGGTATGTAGGATGATTTGAAAATTCTTGCTTATTTGTACTAAATGGTACCAAATTTGGTACAAATTGGAATTTTCGATGAACCGATGTAGCTTGGAATCCGAAATCTGGAATGAGTATCACTGATGAAGTGCAGGATAGATGCATCAAAGGGTTATTCGGAATTCAAAATGTAAATTTAGGAAATATTCTAAAATTTTGCTAAACTTCCAAAATGGTACCATTTGGTATTATGTGAAGGGATATAGGTAAAACTTGAAATTTGGTATGGTAACCAAAGTTGGAAGATTAGTTTGATATATGAAGGTTGTTTTGAAAATGTGTACTAAGTGTCCGAACTGTACTAATTGGTACTACATTTGGGGTAGTTTAGTTTATGGTGAACGGATGAAGCTGGAATTTTGAAATTATACATAAGGGCCCTATTGGCGATAGGTTTGTGATGAAGTGGTGGTTTTGGAAATGTGTACTGCAAGTGGGCGAAAAGTACTAAATAGTACTATATTTGGTACAATTTGGTGTTGGGTGTACAGATAGGGATTGAAGTTTAACATTTGTTTTATTAGGTCGCTGTTCATCTGTAGCCTTGACATATGGAGGTTGTGTCGGAAATATGTACTATAATTGTACGAAAAGTACTAAGTGACATTAAATTTGGTATTGGAATCTGAAATTTTGTATTGGGGCCTCTGTTAGTGGTAGTTTTGTGATAAAGAGGTGGTTTTGGAAATGTGTACTACAAGTACACGAAAAGTACTAAATAGTACTATATTTTATACTATATGGTATTGGGTGTAAAGATAGTGCTTTCAGTTTAAAATTTTTAAGAGATAGGAATAAAATTCTCAGATTTGATACGGAAGTCTCTGCTAGTATCTAGACTGAGATATGGAGGTGTTTTTGAAAATATGTACTAAAGTTGTACAAAAAGTACTAACTGGTACCTAATTTTGTATTGAGTGAAGGGATAGAGCTGAAATTTGATATAGATCTCACTGTTCGTGTAGATGGTCATGATATGGACGTGGTTTTGGAAATGTGACCTATATTTGTACGAAAAGTACTAAATGTTACTTAATTTGATATTTGGGCGAAGGTATAGGGCTGGAGTCCTCAGATTTGATATAGATGTCATTTGTGGTGTTCGTGGTTAAGATGTGGAGGTGGTTTAGAAAATGTGTACTATAATTGTTCGAAAAGTACTGAGTGATACCAAATTGGGCACTAGGCGAAGGCATAGAGCTGAAATCCCGAAACTTGATATGGACGTCTCTGTTGGTATCTGGAATTGAGATATTGAGGTGATTTTGGAAATATGTACTATAGATGTACGAAAAGAACTAACTGGTACCTAATTTTGTAGTGGGTGGAGGAATTGAGTTGAAATGAGTTTGGATATGGAGCGGTAATGGGGGAAAATATAGAGCGGAAATTTGCTATTGTTTATTGATAGTGTTTGAAAAAATATTTTTAAAACATCCACGTTTATTGAACATTTTTGAAAAAAAATATTTTTAAAACACGTTTATTGAAAAATTTTGAAAAATATTTTTTAAAACATCCACGTTTATTGAACATTTTTGAAAAAAAATATTTTTAAAACACGTTTATTGAAAAATTTTGAAAAATATTTTTTAAAACATCCACGTTTATTGAAAAATTTTGAAAAAATAATTTTTAAAACATCAACGTTTATTGAAAATTTTTGAAAAAATATTTTTAAAATATCCACGTTTATATTTGGAACTTGAAAAAATATTTTTAAAACATCCACGTTTATATTTGGAACTTGAAAAAATATTTTTAAAACATCCACGTTTATATTTGGAACTTGAAAGAATATTTTTAAAAAAATCCATGTTTATATTTGGAAAATGAAAAATATTTTTAAAAAAATCCAAGTTTATATTTGGAACTTGAAAAAATATTTTTTAAACATCCACGTTTATATTTTGAAAAAAAGGCAAAACTTGAATAATATATAAAAACTAGAAAGTCTTAAAATTTCGAACTATATATGAAGGTTCGATTAAAAATTTTGTCAAACTAAATTGTGCATTTGAGTACTACAAATGACTAACACGAACTCTTGGCGTGAATGCAAAATTTTAAGGTGGACTTTTCGCTGACAAAGTAGCGGGCACTTTTAATTTCAGACCGTAATCTGAAACGAGA